TTACTTTTTATGTCGGTGAAAATCTCCCATGTTGTATGAAACGGCAATTGGTTCTGTAAGAACTTACTTTAAAGGATTTCTACCTCCTGGTTGTTTTACAATATCTAAAATCTGAATTTGAATCCCAGATGTTTTGTAGTTCAGGGAGTACATAGTGAACTTTAAACATAACACCGGATCTAAGGTGCTAAAAGTTCTAGTGGGGTGTTGTGTTTGTTGTTTTTTTTAAGATTTTATTTATTTATATGACAGAGATCACAAGTAGGTAGGGAGGCAGGCAGAGAGAGGGGAGGAACCAGGCTCTCCGTGGAGCAGAGAGCCCAACGCAGGGCTCCATCCCAGGACCCCGGGATCACAACCTGAGCCAAAGGCAGAGGCTTTAACCCACTGAGCCACCCAGGCGCCCCTAGTGGGGTGTTTTTAAGGTGGGAGACATTTCACTATGCTTCGGAACCGGGTCCTTAAGGAGGTGGGGGGGTTGCTGACAGAGGACAGGCAGAGAGAGGAGTTAGACTTGAAGCGAAGAGGGGCCTGTTCACCCTGGTAAAAGAAAAAAGAAAGGAAAGCTGAGCCATCCGACATCCCTTCCAGATTGTCAATCCCGCTCTCTCGCATTCTTTGTTGGCAGGTATTCCCCTCAGCATAAAAGCTCAAGATGGGTCCACAGTCTGGTGTTGATGTACATTGTAGGCCTTCCTTGGTGAACCATAATGAAGAAGTGGGTAAACTCTGGTGATGTTTGTTGTAAGTGGATGGGGCAAGAGGGAGAGGACAGTGGCGGGCAGCTACAGCAAGGAATGTTGGGGAAGAGGAGTCCCTGGCAGGAGCAGCTGTGATACTGTGATTTTTTTTTTAAGATTTTATTTTATGTTAAGATTTCTAGTTATTTATTGGTCAGAGAGAGAGCAGAAGCACGGAGAGCTACAGGCAGAGCAGGCAGAGGGAGAAGCAGGCTCCCTGTTGAGCAAGGAGCCCGACGTGGCCTTTGATCCCAGGACCCTGGGATCATGACCTGAGCTGAAGGCCCTTAACTGACTGAGCCACACAGGCGTCTGGATACTGTGATTTGTTTCATGTATTTGGTATGCATCCCATTTCTGGCTCATAGTACCTAAAACCATTGGAATTTTCTGTGGTGAGAGCGGTAGCTGTGTCTTTTGTGATGTTAATGAGGTGGCTTTTGGAAAGTACCTAGGTAACCGAGGGCTGGGGGCTGATTGCCAGCGACCCAACCTTGTGATTAGAGATTAGAATATCCGGTGTGACCCTTGGCCTTCGGGGGCAGGGAGAGGGGTGTTGGAGGTTGAATCAGTTGCCAGTGCCCAGTGATTTCATTAATGATGACCATGTAATGAAGCCTCCATCAAAGGACAACCCCCCCCCCACTGCCGCCAAAACCCACAAGGACAGGGTTTCGAGAGCTTGCAGGTTGGTGGACACGTGGAGATGTGGGGAGAGTGGTGCCCCTGGAGAGGGCATGGTAGCTTCCACCCTTCCCCATACCTTGCCTGGGTGTCTCTTCCCTCTGGCTCTTCCTAAATTTTATCCTGGCTTATAATAAGTATTAATATATGATATATGAGGAATCCGGTAAGTAAAATGTTTCTCTGAGTTCTGAGAGCTGCTGTAGCAAATTAATTCAACCCAAGGGGGCATTTGTTGGAACCTGCGATCTGTAGCTGGTTGGTCAGAAGCACAGGTGTCAACCTGGACTTGCCACTGGCGTCTGAAGATTCAAGGGGGTGCAGTCCTATAGGACTGAGCTCTTCACCTGTGGACTTGAGCTCCTTCTCCATGTAGACAGTGTAGAACTGAGTTGAAGTGTAGGACACCCAGCCGACGGCTGAGAATTGCTTGGTGGGGGAGGGGGAAACCCACACACTGGAATTGGGTGCAGAATCATTCGCAGCCAGGATGGGGTTGGGGGAGACTGGAAGAGGGGTGGGGCTGGACCCTAAACAGCACCCCAGGTGAGACCTGTGTGTATAACACCATGCGATACTATTCGGCAGTGAAAAAGTGACCAGCCTGGATGGAGCTGGTGGCCACTGTGCAGAGCCCAAGAAGCCAGTACACATCAGCATGTAGAGCAGGGTTCAGAGTTGGGCACAAGAGGTCAGGATGGTGGTTACTGGGGATGGAGGAGGGTAGGGAGGGACGGGAGAGCTTTTAGGGGGCCGGAAACTTCTAGCTTGATCTGTGTGGTGGCTGCTTAGGTCAATAAATTCGTAAAAATTCATTGGGGCTGCATTTAAAATGTGTGTGCTTTATGTAAAATGGGTGTCAATAAAAGAAAAAAAAAATGAGCTGAGCCAAGGAGCTAGACTTTGACAGAAGAGCAGGTGGGAGCCACGGAAGAGTTTTGGACAAGGGCCAGACCAGGTCATATAGGAATGTTGGGAGAGCCTTCAGGGTCTGGTGAGGTGGGTGCATGAGAGGGGCCAGGGTCTGCCTCAGCCTTAGCTCCTGACTGGCTTTTTAGCCCTGGTAAGCCCCCACCCCACCCCTTTCTGGGCCTCTTTTCCCCATCCAGTCCTCTCATGGGCATGGAGGCAAAACAAGCAGGGGAGGGAAGAAGCCCAGAGCACAGTGAGACTGAGCCCCTTGACAGAGCTCTCTGATTCATGCCTACAGTCCCAGCCCCCGGTGCAGGGCCTTGAGGAAGTGCGGATTTCATGAGGCACAGTGCAGAAACTGCTGGGAGGGGGGGCCTCAGGACCGATGCCCCGCTTTGGGGAACGGGAGCAGGTAGGCGGGGGCAGATGCAAGATGCTTCAGAGCAAATCTCCCATGTGTTCTCTTAGTCTCTTTCTCACTCTCTCTCTCTCTCTCTCTCTCTCTTTTTTTTTTAAGATTTTATTTACTTATTTGACAGAGAGAGACACAGCAAGAGAGGGAAACAAGCGGGCCGGGGCGGGCGGGGGGGTTGTGGGAGAGGGAGAAGCAGGCTTCCCGCCCACCAGGGAGCCCGATATGGGACTCGATCCCAGGACTCTGGGATCTTGACCTGAGCCGAAGGCAGATGCTTAATAACAGCCACCCAGGTGCCCCATTCTCTTAGTTTCTTAGTGAAGAGCCCCTTCTAACCAGTTCCTACCTCGTCTCAGCAGAAACTACCGTGGTAGAAGGTGAGGAGTTTGGGCCACCCCAGGTCTTCAGTGTTTTCATTCAGTGATCGTCACTGAGGCCCTGCATGTGCCAGCCCTTGACATTGAAAACACAGTAGAGAACAAAAATGAAAATATGGTGCTATGATCTCTGAGCTAATGAATGGGCCTGCTGGCTATGTGCTGGGGCTCTGGAGCCAAGCTGCCTGGGTCAGATCCCAGCCCTCCCCGCCCCAGTCTGTACAGTGACTGTGGGCAGGTTTCTTAAATCTCTCTCTGCCTCGGTTACCCCATACATAAAACGAGGCCACAATACCCACTTTGCCTCCTTTTAGAGAATTTATGAAGTCATTTATATATAAAGGGCTGAGCGTGGTGCTGGGCTCAAAAAATATTGTGATAAAGGGGCACCTGGGTGGTTCAGTTCAGTGTCTGCCTTCAGCTCAGGCCCTGTTCCCAGGGTCCTGGGTTCAAGCCCCACGGTGTGGGCTCCCTGCTCAGCAGGGGGCCTGCTTCTCCCTCTCCCTTTGCCGTTCCCCCTGCTTATGCTGTCTCTCTCTGCCAAATACATAAAATCTTTTAATAAAAAAATTGCGATAGAGACAAGATTCACGGGACTGTGAGAACTTGAGAAAGGACTCCCTAGAGAAGGGGACATCCAAGCTGAGGCCTAAAGGAGTGTGCCGGCGGCAGTGGGGTGTGACCAGGGGGAATAAGTTTGGTAGGAGATTGGCAACACTGCGAGGAGGGCTTCCTGCAGGGGGAGGGTGTTGGAAATGTCATCAGAGATCCCATCTAGTTCCTGTCTCCTCTGCTCCCAGGTGGGCTGGCGTCCAGAGGAAGGGCAGTCTGTGGCAGTGGGTGGTGCAAGCCCCAGTTTAGCTCTCAGGGCCGACGCATGAGGCTTGCTGTGGATTTGGAGGGAAATCTAAAGATAGCTCAGCAGAAAAGGATGACTCGAAGCCCGGGCTTCCCCGCAAATCGAAGGAAGCAAGGGTGAATCAGCTTCTCAAAGTAGAATGAAGTGGCTGTGGGAAGTGAAACCTCAGTGGGAAGGCCTCAGTCCAAGGCCACTCTGTCTCTGACTCACCTTAGACAGGGCAGAAGGAGGGCTTAGCGCCAGGGCAGGCAGGCTGGCTGTGAATCGGGGGCCTGCAGCCAGATTCCCGGGCTCTAGACTGGGCTCCTCTTGAAAGCTCAGTTTCTGCATCTTTACAATGGGGTGGGGCAGGGCGGGAAGTCATTGTGGTGAATTACAGAAGCAGGGCACACAGTAGGACCTTCAGAAGTGCCAACCCCTTCCCTTTTCCTGTCTGAGTAGTAGCGGATAATGAAATGAGTATGTGGGGTGGTTTGGGGTTCTTGTTAGTCTCCTGATGGGTGAGTAGTCATCTAGGTTCTGGTGAGATGAGTTGGGGGGGAGAGGGCAGCAGAAGAAACAGCAGCTGTGTGTTGTGTCTGAAAATCAATAGCAATAATAAAAATGATCAACTGCCTCTTGAGTGATTGGTTCTTGCTAAATACCCGACCCTTTGTGCCACTCTCTGTTGCCGTCTTCACAGCAGTTCCATGGGAAGGTGGACCCATCTTAGAGGTGAGGTAAATTGTTCAGAGAAGTGAAGCCACTTGCCCAGAGTCACACAGCCAGTGGATGGCAGAGTTAGGCTTTGGACCCTGAACCAAAACCTGGGTTTGAAGCCCTTGCTCTTAGCCTCAGATCTGTGGGGTGGGGGCTGTTGAAGACTTCATGGCCTAGTTGTGGCCTATGGAGCTGGGAGGGGACTTGGAGTAGGTGTCTGCTTTATAGATTGGGAAATGGACAGGGCAAAGGCCTTACGCTAGATGACCTGCCTGTCGGGAATGTACATATGTTTAGAAAGAAATAGCAGCTTCTTCTGGCTTTGTTGAACGTTTATTACAAAGTTAAGAGCAGAGACTGGTGAGCTGTACCCCCCCCCCCCCCCCTTCTCTGCACCAGATACTCTCTGCAGCTCTGGCAAACTGTGTCCTCCTGGACCTCCCGCCAGGGGGCGCTGCCTCCCGCCACCTCAGCCTCAGGCCCGGTTCCATTAGCTCGGCAATTCCGTGGTCACTAAGGCAGCCCAGGATCTTGGACTCTGGGCCCCCAGTCCCCTCCTCCTCTGGGACCCAGGAGTCTCAGCCCCCAGGCACCTCCACTTCTAACTGAAAGCTGGAGGTCATCCATAGCAGCATAGTAAGGATGTTTTTGTCCAGGGTATGTGGGATAGTAGTGAGACCATTTTCCCTTTTGGGGCAGGGGTTTGGGTGTGTGTGGCCACAGCCTTTCTCCTTGAGCCAGTGTCTCCTCAGTCAGTCAGTGAGTGAGACCACCCTAAGGTGGGGCCCCTTTGGTCCTTGCACTTGAGGTGCTTTATTCATAGGGCTGGGTCAGGAGTAGCAGGGACAGTGTCCTCCACCTCAATCCTGGGGAAAGTAGCTTGGTTCTTCCTCCGTGGGTCCTGGGGAGACAAGCAGAGAGATGGATAGATGGGCCGGAAACCAGAGGGAGGGAGAGCAAGAGCAGGGACGCTGAGGTGGAGACAGACAGACACCAGTGGACTAAGGGGGAAGAAAGAGGGTGGGTGTACCTGCCACCAAGAGACCAGGCATCTGGACAGAAACTAGGAACATGCCCAAGAAGAGGCAGACAGACCATGCAAAGGAAGGGAGAGGGTCTTGAGGGTCAGCAAAGGGGAGAAAGAATGTCTCCTTCCTCCCAGGACTGCCAGTCCAGCCCCAAACTTGAGTCCTCTCCTCCGGATAGGCAGAGCAGAAGAGAAAGAGTAGCATCATCTCCAAGGCCATCCCCTAGTCCTTTGGCCACAAGAGGTGCTATCTACAGGCACCATTTCTCCGGGATGTTTTTCTGCCCGAGTCCCAGCTGCCTCACCAGCTACGTGGCCTCCTGGCTTGGTTCTGGAAGCCGCCTCGACCCCAGGGCAGTGCTAAGCAGCTCAGTCAGCGTGTCCAGCTTCCCTGCCAGGGCGTCCATCCGCTTCTCCAGGGCCTGATGTGAGCTGCTCAGACCCAGCTGCAAGTCACACAGGATCATGTGCATCTGGGCAGAGAGGGGGAGGGTGGGAGGTAGCAGCCGCTGCGCTAGACTTCCTCCTCTCCCAGCTGCCGGGCTCAGTGCTTTTCACACATGGTTTAAATCCTCTTAAAAGCCTGGGGAGTGAGGATTCCGTTCCCGTTTTTACAACTACGGAAATGGGCCTGGAACTGTTAAATGACGTGCCCAAGGTGGCCCCTCCGGTAAGGCCTAGCGTTTGTGGAACTGATGAACCACTTCAGGATCCACATAGCCCTTTCATCAGCTTCTCAGACTAGGAGCCACAGCTTTATCCTCAAGGTGTGTGAGCTTTCTATGAGAATTCTTGAACTCTCGGTTTTTGGCTGGCTAATCTTCAGAAATTATGACCTGCCAGTTCTGGCAGATCGAGGCCCCCACCTCCTCACTGAGACCTGCCGTGCAGTTTAGGGGCCCTGCATCTGTGACTGCTTGCCATGGCCTTGGTGCCAAGGGCCACTGTTTGAATTGTCTCGGGCTAATGAGAAAAAGCAAAGGCCGCTTAATAAGCAAAAGGTGCTGTGAGTCAAGCCAAGGGGTGTGACGTTACCATCCCCAAGCACCGGCCGAATCCGGTGGTCCCAGCCGGAGAACGGCAAGCGGAGTCAGCCCCGTGGCCCAGGGCCCCTCTTCGCAATAGCAGCAGAGATGGCCTTTTACTGAAACAATGTGCCCTGTCTGTTTCAGATTTGTTAATTTGTGTTTTATTGGTCTTGCCATTTGTGTTTGAACTTGGTTTGTATATTTGCTTTGGTTTTATTGCTGTCTAAGAGTCATAGTTGGAAGGAATTTTGTATTCGTCCACATTAACTCGACAATAAAAATAACGTAAAACCAAACACTACAGTTCTTCGTGCAATTTCTTTTTCTAAGGTTAAAAGGGATCGGTCCCCTCCATGAGTTTAAGAAACTGTCATATCATTCATTCAACCACAAACCTTTGTTGAACGCGTGTGTGTTTGCCAGACCCCTGCCAGTGTTCGTTATGCTGGGGCCGGATGTCCCTGCCAGCTGCCCTGGCCTCCCTTTTCTTCCAGACCCTTCCTCCCACAGGGTCCTGGTACCTTGGAGATGTCCACCATGGAGTTCACTTGTTCCCGGAGCTTTCTGTGTTTCAGTCGTACCTGGCGGAACCTGTGGGAAAAAGCTGGAGTTCAGAAGTGATCCCAGCTTGGGGATGGGCTAAGCGGAGGAGAGACTCACATAGATGTGGTCCGGTGAGGAAGGGTTGCCAGAGCTGAAACCCCCCTAAGCCCATCTCTTAGGTAGTGCCCCAGGTATCCTGACTGCCCCCCCCATACAGATTGGCGCGGACCCACAGACACAGACGTGCAGGACAATCCATCACAGAGTCACTGTGAGGTCTAGGTGGACATCTGTTCAGCGGGCCTGCACGCCGGTGTCCCAGCCTGGCTGCACACGCACATTCGTTGCCACACACCATGTGGAAGGGAGGAGATGAAAACAGAGGGAGGCCCTCACCTGTTGATGGCGGCCAGCAGCCTGCGCTGGTGCCTGCGGGCAGCCCCGCGCTCCTTCCTACGTGTGTGTTTGTAAAACATCCAGGCCTCTTGCAGCACTCGGGCAGCTGATTCCTTCATCTGGGGGTGGGCACAGTGTCAGTGGAGGCAGACCCCTAGGGCTCTGGGAGGAGGAGGGGGTGGTGTCTGGACTCCTGGGTCTGAGGGAGGCATGTGCCGTGGGTGCCATATGCCCATCCTCACCTCTTTGGCGTACTGGATGTCCATCATGAAGTTGTGCACGTGCTTCTCTGCCTTATTAAACTCCAGCTTCCGGGCCACCACGGCCACCAGCAGGGCTGTGCAGCAGACCCCCTGTGGGCACAGCAGACACTATGACGGAGGGCGGTGGGGCTCCGGGGCCACCAGACTCCCTCCTAGAACCCTCCCAACAGCCACAGAAGGCAGGCCAGACCACCCCCGGTGGACAGATGAGCAGGCCCAGAGAGGGGAATCGGGGTCCCACACACCCCGAGGGGGTGGAGCCAGGATCAGAGGTCATGTGTCTGAGTCCCACTTGTGGGAGCACCAGAATGCTCTTTTTTTTTTTTCTTAAGATTTTTAAAAATTTATTTATTTGACAGAGAGAGAGAGATCACAAGCAGGCAGAGAGGCAGGCAGAGAGAGAGAGGAGGAAGCAGGCTCCTCACTGAGCAGAGATCCCGATGCGGGGCTCGATCCCAGGACCCTGAGATCATGACCTGAGCTGAAGGCAGAGGCTTTAACCCACTGAGCCACCCAGGCGCCCCCAGAATGCTCTTTTGTTAAAGGTATGATTGGAGAAGGGGAGAAGGGCTGATCTTGGGTGAGAGGTAGAGCTTGGGCTCCTTCGGGAGCCCTTCCTCCCACTGCTCACAGCCACTTAGCCATCAGGTCACCAAAGGTGTCCCTCCCCCTCCTTCCACCCCTGTGGCTCCTGGCCAGTTCTGGCCCCGTCCTTTCCCTCCTGGACCATCTCCTGACCCGGACCTGAGGGAGATCTAACATTATGACCCTGCCCCTTTACCCTACTGCCCCAAACTTCTTACCCTCGCTTTCAGAGCCTTCAGCCAACTCAGCCTGACCTCAATCTGCTGTAGCTTCCCGAGCATCTTGGTCTGAACACTGCCCGCTTCTCCCAAGACCTCTGAACCGCCAGCTGCTTGGTGGTACCTGCTGTTCTTCCCTGAGTTACAGTGAATTTTCTTCTGAAGTCTTCCCCTTCCCCAAAGTGTGTCTCAGCTCAAGAACACTCTGAACAATTTACTGGTTATAAACACCGGTTCCAGGAACACTTGTGTCCCAAGCCCAGCTCTGAGCACGTTACTTAATGTCTCAGGGGCTCACTTTCTTCCCTATAAAATGGGCATGCCCTCACAGTATTACTCTGTGGGTTCCTTAAGTGAACACCTGGAAAGGCTTCAGCGCAGAGGCTGGCACAGAGTCTGTACTTGATAAAGTTACTTGTGATTATCCCATTGTGTCAGGGAACCTCCCTGCCAGGAACTGAGCTGTGAGCTCAAGTGCAAATTGCCTGATCTCTCTAGGTCTGTTTCTCCTTGTGTCAAATGCGGAAGGAGGTCCCAGGCAGCCCCGAGGGTCCCTGACCCTTTGGGAGTGTTTTCCTGGCTGGATCTTGGCCCCTCTTTCTTGGTCCCAAAGACTCACTCCTCTGGGGAGGGGATCACACTTTCCCATTACCCCATCCGTGACCAGTGGAAATGTAGCATATCTTTTCTGGGACAGCATCAGGACTGGGGGCCGGCAGCCCTGGGTAGGGGGAGCCAAATCGCAAGGGGAGGTGAAGGCCAAGGCTTTGGTGCTGGGTCCTGGATGAGGATAGGGGCTAGGAAGGGGGAGCTGGATGCCTGGGTCTATGAAGGGAAGGTGGTAGGTGTCTGGTTTCAGGAGGAGACCAACTCTGGGGAGCCTCTGCCTCATCCTTGACATGAGCTAGAGTGGGCAGCTGGATGCTTGCGACCAGTTACAAATGACAGCCTTCCCACCCCCACCCCTTGACCCATTTGCCAAGCATTTCCTATGTGCTGGGTGCTGAGACCCTATGTGTGGTTTAACTCATCTCAGGAACCCCATGAGGAATACATTAGTATCAGCATCCCCGTTTCATTATAGGCTTGATCCCAGCTTGGAAGTGGCAGAAGCAGGATCTGAAGACAGGCAGACTGACCCCACAGGCAGGCTTTGGATGAAGCCCTAGTGGAGGCTGGAGACTAGGTTCCTGTGTCCTGGATAAGCTGGGAAACCAAGGGCCTGTGTCCTAGACTGAGAGGGTAAGGGGGTGAGGAGGAGGATGTCTGAGCCTTCATGAGGCTCAGGGTGGATTCCTGGATTCTGGAAGGAAATGGGGCTGGGAAGTCAGGGGCCTATGTTTTCCAGGATGGTGAGGTCTAGGGTCCTAAGTTCCAAGGAGAACAAGGATTTAGGGGATGGGTTCTTGGATTTTGAAAGGAAATGGGGCTGTGGGTGTCCAGATACCCAAGTTCCTTGGGGGTGGTGTCCTTGAGTCCCTTTGTTGGCTCCATGATTTCTTTGGGCCCAAGAGATACGCAGTTGGGGGTAGGGGTAGGGTCCTGTAGGGGGCTGTACTCACCATGACTCCAGTGCAGAGACAAACAATCTTGCCCCACATGGTGCCTGGCACCACGTCTCCATAGCCAATGGTCAGGAATGTGATGGGGATCAGCCACAGTGTGTCTGAAAGGTGTCCGGTGGCATTAACGGCCTGCCTGTGGGGAAGGATGGGTTAGTTCTAAAACCCTACCCCAGGGCTTCCCTTGATGTCTGATATTCTCCTTCCTAACACACCCACAGTCCCCAGAAGCATTCAGAGAAAAAGTCTGTAAATTCTGGGCTTTGGAGAGCCTGCCTGGCTTCCTCTCTGCTGTTGCGAGCTGGGCAAGATATGCTCAGCCTTTCTGGGCTGTGGCATTTGAACCTGGATCCAGCCAATTCCAAGGCTTGTTTGGTTTTCGTTAGGCTACCAGGACTGCTGCTTTCTGAGCAGGTTGAGAGGTTGAGAGGGGACAGAAACCCAGCCCAGAGTCCTCTTGTCACACCCTGGCAGGGATCTGCATACACACAGAGGAAGGGGTGATTTTTTTCTCTTTTCTCTTCTCTTCTCTTCTCTTCTTTTCTCTCTCTCTCTTTCTTTCAGATTTAATTTTTTTAAATTAACCTCTACACCCAGTGTGGGGTTCAAACTCACAACCCCAAGATCAGGATTCATATACTCCACCAACTGAGCCAGCCAGGCACCCCAGAGGTGCCTTTTTCTAATGTTCATAAAGATGCTTTATGGCCTACAGGTGGTCCTGTCAAGACTAAAAAGGCAGGATCCTGCCCTCCCTTCCCCCCACTTCATAGAAGGGGACATTTAATTTGAGCCATGGAAGGGACTGAAAATCCTGATTTGTCTAAACTTGAGCCCACAGACCCCTTGTATAAGGGTCAGCAAGGAACACTTCATTCGTGAGGCCCAAGACATGTCAGACCCACTACTCTAGTGTTTGGATGTGGGGACTGAATTTGCACTGTTAAGCCCTACTCCCCTCATCTGGAAGTACATTCAAGTTTGAGGACTTCTGCCCTGGGGTTGAGAAATTTGACCCCCCTTACCCATCCTCCCATTTTTCAGATGAGAAACATGGTGGCAGGAAAACAGAGCCTACAAGATGTATCAGTTAAAAATCCTGAAAGAGGGGTGCCTGGGTGGCTCAGCGGGTTAAAGCCTCTGCCTTCAGCTCAGGTCATGATCCCAGGGTCCTGGGATCGAACCCCCGCATCAGGCTCTCTGCTGTGCTCTGTGGGGAGCCTGCTTGCCCCCTCTCTCTCTCTGCCTGCCTCTCTGCCTACTTGTGATCTCTGTCTGTCAAATAAATAAATAAAATCTTTAAAAAAAATCCTCAAAGATTAGAATTGCTGGATTAGAATTCAAAGATGGTAAAATTTCACACCCATTTCACAGATGAGGAAACAGAGGGTCAGAGAGAAAGGATCTAAAGCCAGTGCTTGTCTTTCCCCACCTCCCCTCAAGAATCCTTTCCCAGGGGTGCCTGGGTGGCTCAGTGGGTTAAAGCCTCTGCCTTTGGCTCAGGTCATGGTCCCGGGGTCCTGGGATCGAGCCCTGCATCGGGCTCTCTACTCAGCGGGGGGCCTGCTTCCTCCTCTCTCTCTCTCTCTGCCTGCCTCTGTGCCTGCTTGTGATCTCTATCAAATAAATAAATAAAATCTTAAAAAAAAAAATCCTTTGCCAGATGTACTAAACCAGATGTCCCAAACTTGAGCCGGGGTCAGAATGCCTTGTTAAAAACAGACTGCTTGGCCCCCACCTGCCAGAGTTTTGGATTTGTTAGGTGTGGGTAGGGCCTGAGAATTTGGATTTGCAGCAGGCTCCCAGGTGACACTGCCAGTTCTGGAACCACACCTTAGGACCAACTGGCTAAGATTAATGTCACTGTCTTTATCTGTAAGAGAGAGGACCTGAGGCCCAGCTTGCAGTCTGTCCAGTAGGCAGCCTGGAATCCTCCATCCATTCCCTGCAGGAAATTCCCTTCCAGAGCAGCCCCAAATCACCACCGTCCCAGGATGGCGGGGAGCACCCCAGTGCATCTGTGCTAATTCAGAAAAGGTGTCCATATCCTCCAAGGAGGCAGTTGCAACCTTTGGCCAGGCCCCAGTACCTGTGTTTAGAGACTGAACAGGTGGAAGCGGGGAAGGAAGGGCTTGCTAGGGTCTGTGTGTGTCTGGGGAGACTGGAGGCTGCAAGCGGAGGAAGGGCGGGAGCTGGCCCGTTGGTTCCTCCCTGCCCAGTGGATGAGTGCGGACCCCGGGGGGCAGCTGGGGCTGTGAGCGGCTTCTCCAGATGCTCTAAGAACCCCCAACCTTCACCGCAGCACCCTCACCTCTCAGCCACCGACAGCACCCAGGCGGTGGTGAGCCAGAGGCCAAGCGTGAGGCAGAGCAGCAGGCGACCGGGGTGCGTGTTCATGTACAGCTTGGCCACGAACCAGTGGCGGAAGCGGACCTGGTTGAGGGCGCCGATGCTGCGGTAGGACGCGTTGAGCAAGACGCCGCTGCGCAGGAGGACGGCGCGGGGCACCAGGTAGAGGCGCAGCAGCATGGCCAGCGACAGCAGCGCCTCGCCCTCATCCAGAAAGCCCGGCCAGGACTGCGTTGCCGCCGCCGTGGGCCCGGACCCCAAACCCTGGGCACACGGCGGACCCTGCACCGGCGCGGGATGCAGCGCGCACACAGCCAGCTCCAGCACGATCTGCGCCGCCTGCCGCCCGGTCAGCGCCACGCGCCAGTCCCGGAGCCCGTTGTCGGTCATGAACAACTGCGGGGAAGGGACAGACGGGGGAGGGGGTCACAAGAAGGTCAGGTGGCCGCCCGCCTGCCAGAACCAGGAGATAAGGGGGGCCGTCCACCAGGGTCAGGGTGGGTGGGGTTGGGGAGGGTGGGGAAGGAGTGGGGCAGGACCTTGAGGAGGACCTCTCTCCACTTTCTTCCTAAGGCCCTCCCCCTCGGTTTCGGCCCGCTTCCAGAATTTCCTGTGTACCCCCACATTGTTCTATATATTGAAGGTACCGGTGCACAGAGCAGAAAGCCCTGCCTCCTGGGAGCCTACAGTCCTGATGCACGGAGCCACCTCCTCCTGTTTCTGGGGCCGGGGGAGTAATTAACTGAAAACCGCGCCCCATAGCCAACATTTACAGGGCACTTTGAATGGGCCAGGCACTGCTCTATCTGCTTTACAGGTTATGACTCAGGGAATGCTCCCAACACAGTGAAATTGAAAGCATTTTACCCCCATTTTACAGGTGCAGAAACTCAGGCCCTGGTCTTTCAGCTGTGGTGGCACAGCTGAGCTACAAATCCAGGCCACTTAACTGTTTGACTAGTGATGATAATGTGTACTTTCTACTGAGCAGGTGCCACAGGGGGGAATGACTACACATGATGGATAACCCCCATTTTATATACAGAGGTTTTAGGGGAAGGGGTAGAGGCAACAGGATCTAGGGATGTGGGGGATGGGATGAGGGGAGGGCGCTGGTGGAGAGTTGAGCACCAGGATGAGACAGGACATGGGAGGGGGGTGATGTGTGGAACGCCCCCCCACCCCTGGAGTCTAGGGGGTAATTGGCACAGAGGTGGGGAGCTCAGGAGTAGGGAAGGACCCTCAGGCACATAGCCTGGATTTCAGGTTACTTGGAACTGGAGTAGGTGGGGCCCCGGGCATGGAGGACAGAGATCTGGGGGGCTGGGCCTGGAGTGAGGCTGCCTGGGGGTGGGAGCTCTCAGCATCCATGGGCATGCAAGGGGGGACAGGGCTGCAGGGGTGCATGGGACTGGGTTGCTCCAGGAGGCTCGGTCTGTCTATCTGTGGTTCTTCTCATCTCGGTGGGTGAGGGTGTGGACAAATCGCAGGGTGGAGAAACCTCATTACTCAGACCAGGAGGAGGAGGAGGGTGGAAAGTGTGAGCTGACAGGGAGCCGTGGGGGCTGCCCTACCTGGACCTCTTTGGCGTGAAATGCCACGATAAGACAAAGGAGCAAGAAGGTGGAAATGCTGATGGTGCATTTAACCAGGAACAGGTAGAGCGCCCACTGTTGGAAGGGACAGAAAAAGGGGTAAGATCCTAGGTTCCCAACTGGTCAGTCCCCTCTACCTTCCTCCCATAATGCCATCCCTTCTCAATTCCCAATTTCCTGGCCTCCGCCACCCATTCCTCCCTGCCTGTCCTCCCCCCACCACCTGGTTCCACCCAGTGTCTCAGTTTTGAGGAACTCTCAAAACCATCTGGTCCCCAAGGAAAGTGGTCTCTTCCTTCCCAGCCTGACAGCCCTGGCTCAGATGCTGGTGTGTACCCTCCTCTTCAGCCTTTCTCATACAATCCACACCTGAGGGGAGACCTTACAGCTCACAGCCCTTTTTAATTCCCCATCCCCTCCCCCACCAAAAATAGTTCCTCAGTTAGGGGGTGGGGGAGTGGGGAGGTCTAGAAACAGACATCTGGCCTCCAGAAAGTTCCCCCGCCCTTCCCTGACCACACAGCTGGTCCAACCCTAGAAAGCGACCTGCCTTAGAAGATCCTACCACCTTCCCAATTCCCCAAGAAGCCTAGAAATGAATTTCTAGAAATGAATATTCAAGAATGAATGACACCCTCCCACCCCCCACCACATCCAGGACACTGGGTCTCCGAGACCCCAGTCCCAGCTATGAGGAACGCCCCTGGGTCCTGGCCCCTGCATCTCCTTCCCCCTGCCCTCTCTCCTGGCTCTAAGCCCAGGGCAGATCTGGCCGGAAGCACATGGCCTCCAGAAACCACGGAGAGACTTTTTTTTCCTCTCTCTTTGTGTGGCAATACCTTGGAGAGATCTAGAATTCTGGAAGAAGAGGTTTGGGGGGCCTGGGACTGCTGGATCCCCTAGGAGGAGTGGGGAGGGGTCCCTGCCTGACAAATGTTGTCGGGGAGGGGGATCCACCTGGGCTCCCCTGCTGAGCTCAGCACCTGTTTCTCCAAAGATGTCTGCCAGCTCCCCCAGCGGGCCAGGGCCCCACCTCTGTGCAGGGGAAGAGGGCCAATTTCCTGCCCCAGGGGACCTGCCCCCCCAACCCTCCCCAAACAATGGTGCTGTTGTTCTTAGCCCTCCCCTACCCCCTTATCCTCCTAAGGCTCCCTGGTTCCCTGTCCCTTTCTTTAGTTTGTCACAAACTCCACTCCGCTAGACATACCTCCTGCCCACACGGCACCCCACTTCTACTTTGCTGGTTCCTCTTCCCCCAAACCCCTGACTCAGTCTCTGAAATTTCCCTGTCTCTGGGGATGCTTCTGTTTCGATCTCTGTTTATGTCTGAGGGTCTCCGTTTCTCTCAGACTTTCCATCTTTCTGTGTATATCTCAACTTGGGGAACTCTGTCTTTCATTGTCTCTTACTGCATCATTGTCTCTGTCTCACACCACCTTTGTCTCTCAGTGTCTCTGTCTCTCAGTCTCAGTCTCTCTCCACCCCTCCTCCTGCTGATTTCAACAGCTTGTTCCCCTGCACTTCCCCAGCTGGGCACCTGCCTCTCCTTCAGCCCCTCCCCCCTGGGGAGCAGGTGTCTGGGTCCCTGCAAAATGGGCTCCTAAGACTGAGATGGCGGTGGAGAGGAGGCATGGATGTTGTCAAGGCCCAAGTAGAAAGGGGGCTGAGGAGGACCCTTAGGGCCACGTATCTCAACCCTTACCCCCAGTTTACAGATGGGGAAACTGAGGCCCAGAAAGCTGCAGCAGCTTTCCTAGAGTCCAGCTGCTGGAGACAGCAGACTGGCAAATGGCAGAGGGAAGGAAGAAATGAGAGGTGAGAAGGGGGAGAGAGGGAGTAAGGAAGGAAAGACCCCCTGTCCCTTTCCATCTGCAGGGAGCTCAGGCCCCACCTCCCTGGCTGGGTGGGGTTCTGAAGCGTGGGAGCGGCGGGTAGGCCCTGGCCATGCTTCCTGTTGGCAGGGCTTCGGTAGCCCCACCCCCCCGTGCCCGCTGCCCTGGCCTCGGCTCCCAGGCCAGAGGAAGCTGGCTTGCCCTGACCCTCCGTGTGGCTCCTGGTCTCTTTGGAACTGCGCTCCTCTGCCACCACCCCCAAATCCAAGCCTGAACTTCCCTCCTCCAGGAATGCCCCCCAACCCAGTCCTCACGTCAGCGTCCCCAGCCAGCCCAACTCCACATCCCTTACCCTAGACAGTTCTCCAACCTCTCCTTTCCGGTTAAGCAAATCTGTTCTGTCCTTAAACCACTGATTCTGACCCCTGTCCTCTATCTGCCCCATCGCTGCCCAGACTGAGGCTGGAATGTGCCGAGAGCCTGCTCAGACCTGTCCTGGCCCCACCTGTCCTTTTCCTCCCCACCGACTCTATCAGGCCCCCCTTCCCCCAAAGATGCTCTAAACCTCCTTCAGACCCAGGAGCCTGGGCTCCCTGCCCCCTCCCCTGGGACCTAGGAGCCCAAGACACTGTACACCTACTTCTCCATTATGCCCCAGAATAGCATGCAGACCCTGGGGAGGCTGGGACTGATGCACATGGGAGGGGCAGGGGGCTGTTTCCCATTTCCCACCCCCACCCCAGCCAGTTTTTTTTGGTCTCTGGCCCTCTGCTGGGGAGGCACTGGGTAAACCTGCGTTTAGATAAGGACCAAGGAGCCACCGCCTAGTTGGAAGAAGTTAGCCTTTCTCCCCACCCTTCCTTCACTGAACCTGAGGCTACCCCTCCCCTGATCTCTTCTTGGGAGACTGGAGGATCTGGTCAGCCACCCCCTGACCTCAAGGGGTCCCGGGCTTCCAGGTGTCCCATACAAACCTTCAAAGACTGAGACACTGAGACCCATGTTCCCTTCTTTTTGCAGAGAGAGCCCTGAGCATTTATCTCCCTTGGGCCCCAGGAGTCCAGACCCTCAGCCCCCTCCTCCTTCATACCCAGGAGTCCAGACCCCTAGCTCCTCCTCCCTCAGAGTTAGGGGTTCAGGTCCCCGGGTCCTCCCCTCTCAGACTTAGGACTCCAGCCCCTCCTCCCTCACACTTAGGGTCCTGACCACCAGTCCCTCCTCCCTCAGACCTAGGAGTCTCAGCCCCCAGCCTCCCGTGGCCCAGGATAAGAGCTCCACTCACCGGGCACCCTCCGAACCACAGCATCTCCGCGTGCAGCACCATGAGTCCAATGCCAACTCCCGCCAGCGCTAGCGCCCAGCCAGCCAGCCACTTCTCCTGCTCCAGCAGCCGCTTTCGCCGCTGTAGGGCCCCCAGGCCTGGCACCAGCTCCCCGCCCATGGCCCCTGCGGTCTTGGGGCTCAGCCAGCTTCCTGCCCAGGGTCCCCCACCTCGCAGCACACAAAGGGCAGCCACTGTGGCTTGCAGGTCCTCGGCCTGCTCTGCTCCTCACTCTGGGGCTCTTGCTTTGAGGCACAGAGGAGTCTGTGCCCTCTGGGGGTGGTGACGGCTGGGCAGGGCAGGGAGGGGCCGGCATGGCCCTTGGGCAGAGGGAAGGCTCCCCAACCACCCTTCGCAGCCTGAGGAGGGACTGGGGTGTGTCTTGGGGCAGAGCAAGGAAGAGGCGTGCGTCCACGTGGATGAAGACACATACTGGCACACAATAGATTGTGTCACACACAACGGTCTGCCCTCTGTAACACACACCTAAACTCAGCCACACCCAGACACCACAAGACACCCGGTGACAAACCCTCATACACACCACGGCCGGAGACGGGACTGAACACACATGGGGCACACACCACAACCTACAGTGAGTGACTCACAACTCCCCGATGAGCTCTGCAGCCCACAGCCACACCCAGACACCACACAGATGGTGTGACACACGCCGGCACTCAGCACAGCAGGCAGTGCCCTGTGGCTCCCGTGACCACCCAAACCGTTCACACACAGGCGCAGAAAACTGCAATCGAAACTGGGACAACATCCTCTTGCCCAGACAGTCACCCCCAGGCTCTCTTGCTCCATTAGCACAACACACACCAACGGTTCCGCAGACACACATCAGGTTACTGAGTCACACCCACGTGCCGCACTCAACATCCCTGTGTGAACCGTGTGCTAACGGCGTCCCAGACGTGATACACCTGTGCACTGGCGCCCAACACGTGCGGACACACAACATTTGGGGACACACCACGGCAGTCCTCAGGCCCCCAGCACACAGTGAAACACACGCGGATGGCATGTGACAGGTCACACTCGCACAACGATCCACAGCACACACAGACTCACCAGGACATACTACATACTCCAGCGCCCAGAGCCATTCAAACGTGTGGTCAGAACAGTGGGAACGGACACGTGTAGAGACCCGCAGTGCACAGCGACACACACAGAAGCCCAAACAGCCTGGGATAGGTTTTGGTGCCTCTCAGGGACACGACCTAGAATAGTAACCCCGGGGGTGAGGGTGGGGGGCGGGGCCCCTGACATGGAAATGCAGCATCGCCTCTGACTGACAAGCCACAAATGGCACACCATATACTCCAACACACGTGGCCACACAAACACCGAGTGACACAAAACATGCTGCCACAGTATTTCCCAACACTACCTTTTGTGAACACCCTGGATCACGTAAAACATCAGGTGGGACCCACTGACACAGCTGACACCTAAGCCTGCGACAACACCACACACCACACCAGGGGCTACCCTCCGCTGCAGCGTACTACACAGCCACACAAACACAGCACACTCTGAGTGTGGGCACCCAGGCTGTGTTCTCGGCAGGGAAAGGAGAGCCCACACCAAATGGACACAGTCCTGGGCATGACCCATAGGGTCACATCTCTGACTGACAGCTCACCTTTGCACCAAAAAGGCATGTAACAGAGACACAACACACAGTGACGGACAGAACAACAAATGCAGTACAGGGTGACTCCCGGAGGGACACGCGGTGTGCTGGAATGTCACTGCGTGCAGCTGTGCTGGAGAAGCACACGGGTCTGTGTGCCGTACATGGGGACACAGACCCAAACTCTGGGGAGATGCCGGTAGGGTTACACTAAACACCTTGCACACACTGACCTCTGAGACACAGCCGGTAGCCAGGCAGGCACCACTCTAGAGGGAGCTCACAGACAAGACCCCTCTCCCTCCCGTGTCAGATGTCAGGCAGGAACACGGACCCGCCAGCCATAGGGAAATGAGACACTCACGCACAGACATGTCTGGCAATGCACCAACACAGCCCACGCAGACACACCCGGAAACACCAAACCGCACACACACAGACACGCCCGGTGACAAAAACACAACCGGTGCTGGTGCCCCGCCCGGTCCGTGGCACCCATGTGATTCCCAGTCTGGGTAGAGACATGCGGGAGAGTGATAGAGACACACCCGGGCACACCCAGACACAATCAGTCACCATGCGCGTGCCCGCCGGGAGAAAACGCTGCTGCCAGCACCCTGGAGGCTGCGGCCGGGATGCCCCCCAGCTACCCGCCACCCCTGTGGCCTGGCTCTGGTCTCTCTGCACCTCTCAGGTTCTTGGGCCTTACCTAGGAATCCTCCCTCAGTCTCTCCTGCTCTAGAAGCCGCTGGGTCTGTGCTGTCTTTATCTCTGTCTCTGCCTTTCCCTGTCTCTCTTGTTCTCTCCCCCATTCCTTGACCTCTGTCTCTTCTGGCTCTGTCTCTCAGTATCTCTGACTCTCTCAGTATCTCTTCTCTCTCTCCCTCTGTGCCTCTCAGCCTCTTTGTGTCTCTCTTAGCATCTCTCTGTCTCCATCTTTGTATCCCTGTTTTCTATTTCATCCTCTCTCCTTGTCACTGTCTCTCTGTCTCCATCTCTGTCTGTGCTCTCTGTGTCCCTGCCTTTTGCTGACTCTAGGTCTCTCTATCTCTGCCTGTGACTCAGTTTCTCTGTCTCCATCTCCCTGCCTCCAGACCTCCCTTTGGACCTCTCTCTCTGGTTCTGCCTCTCTCTCTGGACCTCTCTATGCTTGGCTCTGCCTCAGCTGCTCTCTTCCATCCACCAGCACAGCCGGGGGCAGCCATGCCCTTTCTGGTTCCACCAGCCCCACTCAGGGGCAGGAGGCCAGAGACACAGGCTGCCGCTGCCCGAGTCGGAGGCCTCGAAACGGAGACTTCCAGTCACAGCCCCTGTGCCGCCATGCCTCAGTGCGGGCCCTAGTGAAAACTGATGGGGTGGGGGGAACAATCAGAGAGACTCCGAGGGGTGCAGCCAGGCGGGGAGAAGGAAGAGGAGGAGAGAATTTGAAAAAATCAAAGAGGTGGAGAGAAGAGGTGAAGGGAAAGCAGGCGCCGGGATCAGGACAGGGAAGTTAGAGCAGACAGAAGTTTCGTCTCCAAAGAGACCACAACTAAGAGAGAAAAACGGAGCGAAGGCTGGCCATGGGAGAGGCCAGGGTGGGCAGCAATGGGGTCACAGTGGGAAAGGCACTTGCCTCCAAACGGAAGTTCTGGGATGTGGGGGTCAGTCGGTAGGACACACCGCTCCAGAACCAGCTCCCTCCAGCCCAGGGAGGGGCTGAGCCAGGGGGTGGGGGTGACTCAGGGCCCCAGAGCTTCCTGTGACTCAGCCCTTGGTCCCAACCCTGAAGGGGGGAGTGGAGAGGGAGAGGGGTCTCTGTAAAAGAGAGGGAGGAGGAACACCAGAGGACCTCTCTGCCTAGGTTGCCCCCTTCAGAGGAGGTGGTGGGCTGCTGCATGAGACTTTGAGGGGAGGAGGGGACTGGGGGTGTGGACTCCTGGGTCTGAGGGAGGAGGGGCTGGAGGCCTGGACTCCTGGGTCTGAGGGAGGAAGGTTGTGGGCCTTGCTCCTGGGTCTGAGGGAGGAGGGGCTGGAGGCCTGGACTCCTGGGTCTGAGGGAGGAGGGACTGGGGGCCTGGACTCCTGGGTCTGAGGGATAGGGGGTTGGGGCCTGGACTCCTGGGTCTGAGAGAGGAGAGGGTAAGGGGAAGGACTCTGGGTCGGAAGGAAGAGGGGCTAGGGGGGCTTGAGGGGGGTGGGGCTGGATCACATACTCCTGCTCCAGGAAGGCTAGAAGAACTGATTCCAAAGTCCCTAGGACTTTTCCTTGGCCTCGTCCCAGCTGCCCCACCTTCATCCTAGCCCCATCTCCGGGCCTGGAAAGGACCCAGGTGCCTTGGGGCCCAGCCGGAAGGGGCTAAGGACAAAGGGTTGTTTAACTGGGCAGGGTGGTGGAGGGGAGAGAAGAGGGTGTCTCAGGCGGAAAGGTCACTCGTCGCCCCGGGCTTGTGCAGGGAAAGGCGGGGCTGCGCCAGGAGGAAGACATCCTTCATGAAAGTCAGAGACTTGTGGAGGCAAATCCACCACGGCTGGTCTTTTTGATTTAGGCATTTGGAGGTTTCAGGGCATGGGATACTGCCACCTAACGGTGGCTTTGGGAACTGCAGGCACCTGCTTGTCCAGCCTAGTTTCCTGTCTGCATATATTGAGCACCGACTAAGTGCCATGTCCTGCTGTAAGTATTGAGGGTGTAGTAAAAACAAAACAGACAAAATCCCTGCCCTCATGGAACTTCCATGCTAAAGAAAGTTTTGTGGTTCCGTCAATCTCTCTCACTCTGTCTGAGTCTTTGCTTCTATCTCACTGGTTTATATCCTGGTCTTTGTCTTCAAGTGCATGCGTTTTTCTCTTCTCCTTTTTGTTTCTCTCTGTTTCTGTTTACTTTATCCTTTATATATCTCTATTCGCCACCAATTAAAAATGAGGTATATTAAGTTCAATTAGCTAACATGTATTACATCATTAAAAATTATGTATATTATTTTAAGACATACATAAAATTAAATTATAAATAGTATGTAACTAAATAATTACATCTCACAATTTGGGACTCCACAGACCTTGGTTCGAATCTTGCCATGGCCACTGACTATTTTTGTGTGGAATATAGAAAACATACAGCCTGGGTTAGGGATGGACCTGTGTTCATGTCTAGCTCTGCGATCTTAGCTGTGTGTCCTGCAAAATGGGGATGATACCCATATCACAGGGATGCTTGAGAATTAGATGAATATCCACAGTCCTCAAGACAGGACCTGGTATATATTTTGTTGTTGTTTTTAGAGGGAGGCGGGGCAGAGGGAGAGAGAGAAACTTAAGCAAATGCCACGCCTAGTGCGGAGGGGGCTTCATCTCAGGACCCTGATGAGATCATGACCTGAGCTGAAATCAAGACTTGGATGCTTAACTGACTAAGCCACCCAGGCGCCCCCTGGAGCTGGTATATGATAAGCACTTGGGGTACATTGTTTCTAAAACTGGCTGCCAGTGTCTCCTGTCTGTGCTGATATGTGGCTTCGGTCTGTCTGGTTTGTGACATCTTTGTTGCACCTCGAGGTCCAGTTGTTCAGAGAACTAGAAGCTTCCACTTTTGTTCTCTCAGAACTCTAAGATGACCATGCTGTGAGCAAGCCCATGGAGAGGCCTTGCAAAGGAGAGTCAAGGCACCCTGGCCCAAAGCCCCAGTCTAGTCCCAGCTGAAGGCAGTGGCATGAGTAACCTCTGGAGAGGCGAGAAGAAATGCCCGGTCAACCCTCAGAATCTTGGGAAATAATATACTTTTTGTTTTAAGACACTAGATTTGGGACACCTGGGTGACTCAGTCAGTTAGGGGTCTGCCTTTGGCTCAGGTCATGATCTCATGGTCCTGGGATCGAGCCCTGCATCAGGCTCCCTGCTCAGCAGGGAGTCAGCTTCTCCCTCTGCTCCTACCTGCCTCATGCTCTCCCTTTCTCTCAAATGAATAAATTATTTTTTTTTTAAAAAGGACACTAGATTTTGTAGTGATTTGTTGCACAATGATAATAAAGATCATACCTTTTTGTTCACTTTTGTATTTGAAGTTTTCATAATAAAAGTATATGTATACATATGAATATTATATAGTTGATCTTCGAGGAATGGGAGGTTAGAGGTACAGATCCCCCCCCACACAGTTGAAAAATCCACATACCACTTTTGACTC